GTGTGTGTGGGGGGGCTGTTTTGGGTTTGTGTTTGTTTAGGTTATCACAGCAAGGGTTGTGGGCTGGCAAGAAAGCAATGAAACTGGCCAACGTTGAAAAGTAATGTGTTGTGAAAGGGGAAGGTGGGGGATCTGAACGGGATCTGACCAGTCAGAGGGAGCGAGATGTTCTAAGGCTGGGAGTCCGCTGACCGTTTCTGGAGGGAGACACGAGCACCTCCCACAGTGCAGGTTTTACTGTAAGTAGCAGCTAAACCCGTGCCTTAGCACGTCTAGAAAAACAATCCCAAGATGTTTTTCAACGCAGCCCTCATTCCGGGATAATGTTTGGGATTTGTCTAAGTCCTGAAAGACTATGCATTGGTTTAGAATGTTACAGCAATAGCATAATTACCCTCATGCAAATTGATCATTGCTTCAGCAGCTTCAAACTCAGTGGTGTATATATAGTCATCTCATCCTGCAGTTTGCTGTTGAAAGCAAATGCAAACTACAGCAGTGACCTTTCTTCTGTTTCTCTCCTTAATGGTTAAAATGCCCGTTTTTCATGTTCGTAATCGGTTATAGTATCTGACTTCAGTTCATTGGTGTTTCTTGCAGGGAAGTAAATAAACCAATGAACTAAAAAGAGGTATTTGAAGCGGAAGTGTCTTTGCTGGGGCTGGGTTTGAGTTCAATTATTTGTTTAGCTCAGGTAACTTACTGAATAGTGCAGTAGACCAGCCAACCTCGTTTCCTTCCGTTTTGCTTCCTTTTCTAAGGCAGCGCATGCCTTCTGCGCTTCTGTCAGGGCGTGCGTCAGCTGCCTTTATGTTAGCTATTGCGATTGTACCTGTTAGAGGGGTCTCCAAGAGAATACGCAATAGTTGGTGGGGGTTTTTTAATGCGTTCGTGAAGGTATCTTGTATAACACTGCGATAAAGGTCTTGTTGCATGTGACGGAAGTATTTATAGAGGATGGAAAGAAGCTAAAATCACAAAGTCAGCGAATTCCTGGGCATGTGCTAGATTTTCTGTTGTGAACTATCCCACTGAAGTAAACATACAGTTCTTGCTTGCTCATGTTTTCCTTAGTCCTTTAAGAACTCTATTTTACAGGCTTAAACACCTGTTTTTTGACGTTTCTTCCCTTTTTAGTAAAGAGGATAGGATCGAGTGTATCTTTCTAGAGCATTTAATGTTGTGTGTAAAGCAAGAAAAACACAAGTTTGCCATGTTTGCTCTACTCTGTGCATAGTCTACAGGTTTCTAAAATATGTAAATAGTGTTTCTGCAGCCACATAACCCTTGTTTTGCTCAGCTTGCGCAGTGGCATTAAGGTGAATATGTTACAGAAATTTGAAAAACGGGTTACCGCATGCCTTGGATGTGTGCCTAGCTGTGCAGGAGAAAGACTTTCTTTAACAAGCGTTGCATCGCTGCTTTGCACAGAGCTAGCGCCGATTTTATTTTTTTACTCCCAGGAGTGTTTTCTACCCGTATTCTCTCTTTAAGAATACTTACTCCGGCTTTGCTGAAATCTATTTTTAAAAAAGACAGGGAACCGACGAAAGCAAATACTTCTTAAAGCTTTAATAACGGACCCAAGGCCTGGAGCCGGGAAGCAGTT